AAAAAAACACCCTGTTCATCTGCAAATTAGAAGGTTACTCCTATCTTAGGCTATAGAATGACCTGTTGGCCCCATATTGTCAGTTCCAAGTTTGGTCTACTCTGGATCTGTGTTTCCCAACTTCAGTAACTCTTAAGATGGGTGGACTACAATTCCCAGAATTCCCCAACCAGCATGTTTTAAGATGGGTGGACTTCAGCTCCCAGAATTCCCCAGCCAGCATATTGGAATTCCACCCATTTTGAAGTTGGCCAGGTTGAGAAACACTGCTCTTAGGTGAGGTAGGCTTCAACTCCCAAATCTGTTTTCAAAGGCCAGGATTGTTATGAATTCTGGGAAATGAAGTCCTTACAGTTGGAGGGCACTATATTTCCCTTTATCATCTGCTTCTTTGTTCTTTAAATACAAGTGGTCCCTTTACTAGTTGCTGTTTGTATTCTGGGTGGCCTTAACCGCCGTGTCCTTCATATTATGCTCCATCCTTTTCTGAAGATGCTGCGGGACAAGTTCCGGGAATTCTCACGTGACACCAGCACCATTGGCCAGGAGAGAGTGGACGGTGTCAACCGTCTGGCGGATGAGATGATCTCCACTGGCCATTCCGAGAATGCCACCATTGCGGAGTGGAAGGACAGCTTGAATGAAGCCTGGGCAGATCTCCTGGAACTCATTGACACTAGAAGCCAGATGTTGGCAGCTTCTTATGAGTTACACCGCTTCTACCACGATGCCCGGGAGACTCTCAGCCAGGTCCAGAACAAACAGAAGCAGCTCCCGGACGAAGCAGGGAGAGACCTCAACACAGCCGAAGCCCTGCAAAGAATGCACACAGCCTACGAACATGACATTCAAGCCTTGAGTGCTCAGGTTTGTGCAGTGGAGATGAGTAAGATTCAGAAATGTACAAGTATTCTTCAACCTACGACCGGACAAATAGTGGCCGTTCAGAGTTTAACACACCTACCTGGGGCGGGGGGGGGGAGACAGGTCCTTGTGACCTGATTTCAAAGTTCTGACAGTGACCCCCAGCCCAATCACCCGACCACAGCAGGCACAATGAAACCAGGCTCAAAATGAAACCAAATCAAAAAATCCGAGAGCCCAGATTATAGGTAGTCCTCGATTTACAACACTTAGTTTAGTGTCCGAAGTTACAACAGCACTGAAAAAAGCCATTTGTGGCCATTTTTTTCGCACTTACAACCATTGCGTCCTCCCCATGGTCATGCGATCCAAATTCAGATGCCTGGCAACTCATTTTTATGACAGTCACAGTGTCCCGGGGGGGGGGGGGGGGTCATGTGATTCCCCTTTTGCGACCTCCTGACAAGGAAAGTCAAGATTCACTTAACAACTGTGTGACTAACGCCAGAACTGCAGGGATTTAATGAACAACTGTGGCCAGAAAGATTGTAAAACGGGGCAAAAGTCACTCAACAATTGTCTCCGCAACAGAAAATTGGGGCTCAGATTTGTGGTTGTAGATCGAGGACTACCTACACAAGGTGGAAACGTTTTTCAAGTTGTAATAGTTTTAGGAACCACCCAGCCATATTTGGGAGGAAGGTAGTCCATGCAAAGTTGTGGATGGGAACTGAGCATTGTGTCCCCCTCCCCTCCTTGTTGTTCACAGGTAAAACAGGTGCAGGACGATGCAGCGCGGCTGCAGAAGGCCTATGCCGGCGAAAAGGCTGATGACATCCGGAAGCACGAGCAGTCGGTGAGCGAGGCCTGGTCTGACCTCCTCGGCGGCAGCAGTGACCGTCGGCAACTCCTTATGGACACGGTGGACAAATTCCGCTTTTTCGGCATGGTACGAGACCTTCTGCTATGGATGGATGACATCAACCTTCAGATAGATGCCCAGGAGAAGCCCAGGTCAGTGTATTGTCAGAAAAAAGGTTGGATTCCCGTACAGGGCAGTCCTCGACTTAAACAATTGGGACCAGAATTGCTCTTAAGTGAGTCGCCCCGTCTTTAAGCAAATCTGGCTTTCGGATTGACTTTGCTTGTCGTAAGCCCACAAAAAGGCAATCGTGTGACCCCAGGGCACTATAATTGTCAAAAAATCCATGCCAGTTGATGACAAGTATTGATCATGTGACAGTAGGGATACTACAACAGTTGTAAGTCAAGGAACTTTTATAAGTCACTTTTCGGTACTATTACAACCTTGAACGGTAACTGAAATGAATGGTTGTAAGTTGATATAAGCTGTAATGATTTAAAGAAGAAACATATAAAGATAGGAGGATGTAGCAAAAGTTGAAAACAGAGACCTCTGTGCTACCTTTTTCCTGGAATTTAAATGAAGGTATCATCACCTTTTGTCCTGTCTGCAAATGTTGCAGGTTTCTGTAATGCCTTCAATCACCTTATTTGCAAGGCTCCAAGTAAGAATAGAATAGAATAAGAATAGAATAGAGAAAATGGAATGGAATAGAATAGTAGCATAGAAATAGAAATACTTTATTGTCACTTTGAATGTACACTAATTTGTAAATACTAAAAATGAAATTTTGTTGCATACAGGTCTTAAAAGGGTTACCATCTCCAATTTTACACTACATAAACATGACAAGATAGATAAATAAATAAATTCAAAATTATGTATATACCCACATATATTATACGACACGGAGAAACAACACAGACTAGTTCAGATGTATACATGTTTATGGCGAGAAAAAAGAATCTTGCGAGTTTGCCAGACGGACAGCCTAGGGAACAAAACTGTTTTGTTCCTGCTAGAAATACTTCGAAACCTCCTCCCAGAGGGGAGCAACGGAAACGAACCGTAAAATGGGTGTGTGGGTCTCTAACAATGCTTTGAGCTCTGAGCACATAGGGCTTACAAGCAGTATCCTAAATAAAGGGAAGTGAGCTTCCTATCAGCTTCTCTGTTGTCCTCACCACTCTCTGCAGGGACTTTCTATCTGGGGTTTTGCTGTCACTGAACCAAACAAACAGTGATGTAGTTGGTTAAGACACTCTCAATGATGCCTCTATAAAAATAAGATATGCACAGAAGTTGACCTCATGTCTTGGGGTCTTGTTTTTCCCTGCTGTCTTCTGTTCCTTTGCCAGAGCTGAGGCGGATGACCAATTTTTTTCCCCTTTTGCACTTCAATATAGGGATGTGTCAGCTGCCGACCTGGTCATCAAGAATCACCAAGGGATCAAGGCCGAGATGGAGGCCCGGACCGACAGCTTCAACGCCTGCATAGCAATGGGAGATGACTTGCTGGCTAAGGGGCACTACGCTTCTACGAAGGTTCGTGTAGTGGCAGTGCAGAAGACCGTGGTTATTGTGAGGAGCTAGTGACGTATTTTGAGCTCTTCTTCCTATTAAGAAAACTCTAGAAGCGCAGAGCTCATTCTGAGCTAACCTGTTTGTTTTCCACTCTGTCTTGCTGAATGAGGGGAATCTTCAAGCAGCTTCAAAGTTTTTCCTGCTCTGAAAATCTCAGACCTTGTATTCTCAGGTCAGGTTTTATAGTCTCCTCCCCATGGCAGGATCATGAAATCAGGGTGCCAAGTTTTGATTTTTTTTTTAAAAAGTCTTGGGATTCTTTGTTGGGAGCATTTGCAATGGAACCTAGCGCTACTGTGGAAAAATTGGCCACTGGTCGAGGCATCTCAACCGTTCTTATTAAGGAGATCCTGACATCCTGTACGCGGTGGCTCAGTGGTTAAGACGCTGGGCTTGTCAATCAGAAAGGTTGGCAATTCAGTGGTTCGAATCCCTAGCACTGCGTAATGGAGTGAGCACCCGTGACTTGTCCCAGCTTCTGCCAACCTAGCAGTTCGAAAGCACGTAAAATGCAAGTAGAAAAATAGGAACCACCTTTGGTGGGAATGGCGTTCCGTGTGCCTTTGGCATTGAGTCATGGTGGCCACATGACCACGGAGACGTTTTCGGACAGCGCTGGCTCTCCGGCTTTGAAACAGAGATGAGCACTGCCCCCTAGAGTCAAGAACAACCAGCACATATGTGCGAGGGGAACTTTTACTTTTAATAGCATGTAAGAGAATTGAGTATTGTTATGTGTGTTTTTTATGTTACGCCTTTCAATCGCATGCTTTAGCTAATAATAAAGCTTAAAATCCTATTATTGCCTATATAATCCAAAAGAACCAATAGCTTGGGCCGATTGTGGCAGTTAGCCAAACAGTTAAGCACGGGAAGTTTTCCCTCTAACCACATCAAAACAACAGCATCCATTTGAATTATCACAACCTTACTTGGAGAAGTTGAGTATCAAACCTAAGTCCATCTTAGAGCGAGTTTAGTCTCTGGTATCTCCAGTGATCACAAAGGAGTGGTGGGATGGCCTGGAGGCGGAGCTCTCACCTCACAATCAGGAGGCTGGGAGTTCAATCCTAGGTGGAGACAGATATTTCTCTCTCTGGGCCCAATGAGAATATATCTGCTCAGTAAAACTCCGCATTGGCGACAGGAAGGGCATCTGGCCATTAAAACGCCCACCTCCATTCAGTTGTTGTTAAAAGATGATAATGATGCTCTCCAGTGATCACAAAACAAGAAAAGGCACGTTCACCAAGCTATAATTCAGCAATTCAGACCCTGATTGCTGGAGGCAACGTGCTGACACTG